TGAACCGGAGTCCCTCAAACCCCAGAGTCCAGATAAAACACAGAAAATGACAGCCTGCAGTCCTCCTTATGACGTCACGTTGTGTGGGTTTATGGCTGTGTCTCATTAACCAGCATCATATAACAGAGGAGTCCAGAGAGCCAACCCCCCCACCCCCCCACCCTCTCAGGAAAAAGCTCAGAAAGCCCCTATGCCCCTACAACCCAGCGTGTTTGATGGATAGGACTGAGGAACAGGACTGGGTGTGGTGTGCTGGTCATTCAATTTTCCATCGAGTCCCACTTTCACTTATCTGTGTCCTCCATTGGGAGTTCTCCAAGAGACAAATGGAGGGTTGACTTTCAGGCTCAGACAGGACCGGACAGAGAGGAATGAACACAGCCCCCCCACTATCAACAAGTTGAACTCCTTACTGTAAAATGCCCCCCTCCCTCACTCTTTCTTCCTGCCCTGTATCGTGTTCTCCTTCCACAAACCCCGCCAACCCGCTTATCGACCTCCGCAAACAGCTGTAAAGCTCACCTCTGGCCGCGGCACGACGAGAAAAAGCTCCACCAAAAAAGCGGACGGGGACGTTTCCAAACGGGAGCCCAGCGGACGCCTCCGTGTCCCTTTCTTAACCTGTTTATGTTAGCAGTGCAGTTACCATCACTCCCCCTCCCACGACCATGTTCACGCTCTCCTCCCCCTTTTGGACTCAGACGTTTCCTCGGGCTTCCGCGTGCGGCCTCGTCACGCACAGCGAGCACAGAAATGTTTTCCTCTGCGGGGCGGGAACTAATTTTTACAAAAGTGGGAGCGAGTGTTGGCGTTTAGTTTGCTCCACGTTGGTGAGCGTTTCTTCGTGTTTGCGACCTGAAGATAGAAACGTGTTGTTGTCGCACGCGCCCGCAGAAACGGGACGGGTTTGATTTGTCAGATGCGATTTCCGCTCGCTCCACCAGAGGGCGCCAAATCCCCAGAAATGAGCAGATCAAACCACCAGTAGACACGAAAAAGTTCAGAAAACCACAAAAAAACTAATTAAATGTCGTCAAAGGCGGCTGTAAGGAAAATTAAGACACACGTTTATTTTCTAAACCCTCCCTTAAGTTTAAACAAAGGTAATAATAATAATAATAATAATAATAGTAATGATAATAATGATAATTATTATTGTTATTATAATAACAATGAGAAGAAGAAGAAGAAGAACAACAACAACAACAATGATAATGATAATAGTGATGATGATTATTATCATAATAATGATCATAATATATAATTATTATATATCATAGTTGGGTGTCAAATGTATTCACATTGACACCATCTTTGCTATTAGAAATTGGGGTTAAAACTTTCCTTTTTGGTGGAGTTTATAGTTAGGGATAGTTCAGGTGACCCTCTGTAGTGTTCTGCTGTAGGCCCAGACTGATGCCAGCTGTCCTGCTTCTGGTTCTGAAGGAGTTTTCTTCCAGTTAAAAGTTTCCCCATGTGCTCAGGGTGAGGAAGTGTTATAATCTGCTAGTTTCCTTTGCTTGGAACTTTTTTCAATTGGCCTTGCACATATTTATTGTATTTGACACTTGATGAGTTTAAACTTTTTTTTATTGTATTCGTATTCAATTAATTCTGATTGTTGTGAACGGGACTGTATCTCTGAAGTGCCCTAGATATTATCTTTGTTGTGATTTGGCACTACATTTATAAAAATTCTACTTCTTTTTGTCCTCTTTTGTTGCATTGTTGTAGTGTATCATGGGATACGGGTCATTTTCTAGTTAACTCATCAACATTTCCACGAAGAGCACAGATAAGAATGATTGTTGAGATTGAATCTTGTCTTGTTTCTTTGGAGGGAACGCTCACATTTATGGACTTGACAGTCTCTGGGAGTCTATATTTGGCACCCACCGTAGAGCCTGATACTTATAGGGTACAGGACTGGGGCGGAGTATGAGGAAAATTATTCAGGACAAACAAAGAAACACACCCAGAGGCAGAAAGAGAAAAACACACAGGATTCATTTAACAGAAAATCATGCCCATCAGTCCACACAGGAAACGAAGCCGTGTCCCCACATTTATGAATGTGCTCTCAAATGACTATTTTAATATGCATTAATATGCATTAATGTTCATTTTAGTCCACTTCTCTTTCTCATTTAGGTTTGTGGGTGTTCAGTCTGAGGTCTTGACCACTGCAGCCCTTTGACTCTTTTCTTTTTCAGACTTTCTGGTTCTGTGGGACAGATGGCCTCACATTTGACTGAGAACTTTGCTATCCGTAGGAGTTCGTGGCGGACTCTCTGGTCCTGATGCTGCAGCCCAAACCAGCAGCTCTCCCCCACAGAGCTGACAGCTCTGGACTTCTGACCGAACATCTCCACTTTGCTCTGCTCTGTCGAAAAGATTTTGCTCCAGAAGTCTTTGCAAACCCAAGCTGTGCTCATGTGCTTTTTTTTGGCAGAAGAGGCTTTCTCCTGAAGTCCAAACATAAGCCATACTTAGCTTTTTTGACAATTTTCTGACAATTTTCTTTTTAATGGATAATGAAATTGTTTAAATTGTGTCTTATTGATCAACCAATGTTTCGTTTATGCAATTTAAGACCTTAAAATCAGATTTTTTTTGTCCTGTCCTGATACAGAAAAGCCCACAACCAAGAGAGGTTGAGACTTTACTTACTTTAAAAATTTAGAAAGTATATATTTTTTCGAAATTATTTAACCATTTTAGATAAATAAACATTTTTTTATATCAATGAAATAGTCGTGTTGTGATGAGATACTCTTTTTAACGTAAGAGCATTTTGAGAGGCTTGTTTCACCGTACCTTTTTAAGGACATTAGTTTCTATTTAGTAATAAAAGTTCTGGCCTGTCACACCCAGCCAGAGGCCCCTAATGAGCCCTGTCCCTGATAGTGGAGCTAATCAGGGCAGCCTATCTGGCCTCTGCCCCCGCCGACATGCTGCCAGCCTTCTCCGGGTTTATTTATACTCGCCTGATCTATCAGCACTCGCTCTATGTTTGGTGAGACTTAGTGTTCCAAAATAGAAATAATTAGGACAGGGTGGAAAAGAGGAAAAGTGAAAACGTGTCTGAACGTGCATACCCTCTGAGCAGAGCTCCCCGCCCCCATCCTCCGCCAATCTGTCCATCCATCCATCCCTGATACTCCGCCTCCGCTCTGTTTTGTTTTCTGGAGACAGCGGCATCGGGCAGGCTGAGGAGGAGGAGGGGAGGTGGGGGGGGGTTAAGGGGTGGACAGTGTTGTGTGTGGTCTGGATTGGGTGGTGATCTGCCTGTGAAGTCGGGCGAAACAGTCCTTCAGATTGCCACACACGCTGGGGTCCTGATAGGATCTCTGAGCCCGGTCAGGCAGCGTCTCCTCTGTTTTTCTCACAGAATCAGCGCAGGTGCTGATGCCGGACCAATAAATGACCCGACCAACTTCAATTTTAGTGTCCTTCCGTTGAAATGTTCACAGTTTATTGCTTCTTTTTGGTGCATCTTATTATGTCAAATAAAACATTTTTTCAGTTCACCAGTTAGTCAAAGGTTTGGTTTTTCTGTGAGATTGAAAGCAGAAAATTGTCTACATTTGAATTCTTGGACATACCGACTCAGTTTTGATGAGAAACAGTCAAACGTCTAAAGCAGAAATGAATTTTCTTCTCATCCTGGCAATTCAAACAAATGTGTCACAGGATCAAACATAATATATCCTAATAAGGAAACTTGCTTCATTCTCTTTTCAGTTCTGAAGAAAAATGGAACTTGTATGTTTTCGTTAAATAGAGGATTTCTGGGAAGGCACACAGATTCTGATTTATTTCATGCAAACAGGATCCAGTTCAGCAGATATCTGCCTTCACCGGTACCAATCATCTGAGCTGGAATCAGTCAGCCTTTGTCAGATGTGAATTTCTATTATTGGTTTTAATGTTCTAGTTTCCGGCTTATTTGTATTATTTCTATTCTTTGGTCTGATCAGTAGTTGGAACTAAGCTGTTCAGTGCTTTGGACTTTGTTCAGTGCTCTGGTTGGGTTTTTTCTGGTGATTTAGTCTCTCTTACAGCTAATTTCTAGTTTTTGTTTTTTCAGTTTCATTATGTGCGTAGGCCTCTTTGTATTCATGGTGATGTTTGACTTGAGTTTGTGTTCCCTGTGTGCTCTTTTATGTTTCTTTTTTTATCAGACTTTGGTTTGGTTTTTGGTTTGGTTGGTTTCCAGTCATGCTGCAGCTGTTTTACATGCTCTTGCTCTTCCCATGCTCTTACAAAACATTATGCTCTGCTCTGAATAATTAGACACCATATACACAAATGAAGAAACTTTCTTTTGGTGAAGAGAGGAAAAATCTCTAGTTTGATAACCCCAAAAAATGGGTGAAGTTTCCTTGTCTGAATGGTCACACTAGGCTATCCTTATATACCAGTATTAATCATGATCGTGATTTTCAAATATTTGACTTCATTTTTTGTTAATGATGCACATGAAAACGTCTTGATGTAGAATGATGAAATATGTCCTTATTGAATACAGGCTGGTCGGTACAGTTTTTAAAGAGCCGGAAAATGAGACGGTATTCTAATTGTCGAACATGTGTATATAATAGTGAGAAATTTATTTTAAATGTGCTTTCCTTCTTTATCCCTATGATGTGATACTGATAATCATTATTTATATCAAAATGCTGATTTCACCCATATTTTCCAGGATTACTTTAAAAACAGATGAGAGAATCTACCCACCAGAGCCAGCTGAAACTGGCCCAGGGGTGATGCAGTGCCCCAAGGCAAGACCATAAACACAAAGCGACAACATCCTCAAGAAATTGGCCTTATCACGCTCCCATCTGTCTTCATCCAGGGTGTGGAGGGAGACAATGTGTAGTGTGTATGTATGTACGTGTGTCGAGGCATGTTGTCACCACTTAAGAATGGTCATAGAGGCTTGAAACAACGGGGCAATGCCGGTCAGCAAGGCGGCACATCTAATGGGCATGTCTGAAGTCACACACACACACACACACACACATACACACACTTAGCCTAAACAGCCCCATTATAGCCCCACAATATAAACCCACCCTTGATGAATGGCTACAAATATCCACGGCTCTGGTCCACAGCACAGACTCACAGAGCAGCAACCAGGAGAGTTGAGGACGAACTCCAAAGAGGAAACAGAAGATTTAAGGTAAGCCTCCGTTCATTCTGGGGGACATTTTTTTCCACCGAGGCCTCCCTCCCTTATCCAGTAGACTGAAACGTCTGTTCCATCCTCTCAGATGCTGAGCTCCAGGTGCCTGCTGCCATTCCTGGCTCTTTACTTTTTGCTGGAGCAAATCTCTGGTGCGGTTTTACCGAACGGCTTGAGAAACAAAAGGGTGAGAACTCTCTTAGACAGGCTTTGACAGACGAAAAGGAGAGCCGGGAGGATTTTGTAACAAGGATTTTTTTTGTCCGATCTTCTTTTTCTGTTCATAGGAAATGAACTGGCTGGACCAAGAGGTCTTTTCCCGCCTCTCTGACCCCTCAGACGTGGCTGACCTCTCGGTGGGGGATGCTGGGGAAACCAGCAGGGACAGACGTTTGGAGTCTCTGGTTGACTCCAAAGAGCGCGTTTCAGTCCAGCACCAGATCCAGAACCAGTACCAGCGCAACCATAAAGCCAACGAAAAGAGGTGAGGGCACAGGAAGCTGCTTCAGAGCCATGCTTACAAACTCCAGTTTCAGCTTCTCAGAAAAGCAGTTTTATTACAAAATGTTAAAGAACATAGAGACAATGATCAATAATCCTTATTAATGAGCCTGTTTCAAAGATGTTGCTTTGGGAAATGTCTTCGGTTGTCTAAAGGTGTATATATATAAGAAGCTTTAAGGGGGTGCATTAAAAGAAGAAATTATAGTAAATTAAGGTTTTCTTTCTTCTTGTTGTCTACAGGAGAAAAGTTGCCCCTATGGATTCCATCGGCCGCTTTCAAATGTCCAGTTTCCGAAACCGAAAGGTGAGCAATAACTCTGAAAGACGGTTTTACTGTAAGAAAAAATTCTATTACTGCATTTAGAGTTCCTGTCATCCGAAATGTAAGCTAACAACCTGCTGCACCGTGGCATGACTTCCACCTTTTGTGGTTATACTCTGAGCTCTGACACCCGTCTGAAGTGGTGCTGCAGCTTTAAATAGCCTTAATTATTTTTCACGTTTCTGCTAATTTCTATTGCCTGTATTAGAGAGCATGATTATCAAATACCATGCCGTTTCCAAGACATGGTTAATTAAGGCACACAACAGGAGTCTGGCCTTGTTTAATCAGAGACATGTGTTCCTTTATGAGGTTTGCAGTGACAGTGGGTTCTTTTTTTTTTTTTAACAGGATGAGCCTGATATGGACAGGGAGGATCACATAAATTAAAGCTTCTCCAGCTGGCCTCCGAATATGTTCTCCATTCTAACTGATGTGTAAAGAGTTGTACATCCGGGTATTTATTCCGTTACTTCTATTTAAGTTACTGAGTTATATCGCTAACTTGCTCCCTCTAGTGGTGGAAGACAAACACGACAAACACTTTTCTGTGTGCCAACATTTAAAGAAAATGTGACGTAGCCCTTTGTTTTGCTCGTTTGTGTGTACTAAACAATAAATAAATATGAATACAGCCTTTAAGTTTCCCAAAGAATTTTTATTTTTCAAGCTACAATAAAAGAAAACGATATCAGACTGCAGAAAATATAGAATTTGCTTGGGTATTCTCTCTCTTTTCACTTTCACATATGTACAGTTGTCAAAGAACAGGATATGTACACAGAATCAAAGTCGTACAGAGAGTGCAACTGCTACCAAAGACTCGCCAGGACTCTCCCATCCAAACAAAAAGAGGAAAAACGTGGTAAAAAACAAATAAAACGCCACAACCTACGCAGTCTCAACTTTTTTTTTTCTGTACACAACTTTGTTCTCCATGCGAGACAATCCCATGTCCTTTCTCTGATGCAGGGGTGGGGGGGGGGCATCTCTAACTCCGCTCTTCCGAAAGCTAAGAAACAATGTAATGAAACGATAAAACAAATATTTTACAACCATTCACAAACGAGCCCCTGTCACTTTGACAAAGTAAAGCACCGTAACCAGTTGTCTTACAGCAACATGGCCGCCCTCAGATGACTTTATTGAAAAACAAAGACAAAAAAAAAAAAAAAGAGATATACATTTATCTCGTGACTTTAACAGCTTTCAATGCAGAAGTTGATAGCAAACGGCTGTCGGTGATTGGTGGACGAGCCGCTTTAAAAACGATGAAATCCTGGGTCATGAAAGTACGCAGCCGGGTACAGATTCAAATCAGCTCCAAATCCAGCCGGAGCGCCGGGATGGAGGCTGCGTTTGGGTTTCTGTTTTCAAAGTGCACTGCTGAAAAAGAACCGCCTGCGTACTGCGCAGCCACGGGGACGCACGCCGATTATCTCTCTTCCTCGAGAGGAACTCTTACACGGTCAGGTTCAGTGGTCGCCACTGACGGAGAAAAATAAATCTCAAGATTAGCATAAAAAATAAAGAGCTGCCCATCTAGGATCGTAAAATATTCCAAACAAATAAGGAGTGACAACTTTAATCTCTTTTAGATAAAGAATATATAAGATCTAACTCTCTCAGTGTTTAAGTTTCGCATTGGTTTTAAGTTAAGAAAACGGGTGTCAGACTGAATTACACTCCCTTCAGACAAATTTACAAGTTAGAAAGAAAAAAAAAAAAAGAGCATGAAGACGAGCACAAAAATGTATACGCAGGTCGCAGAACAAAAAGAATAAAGACAAATAATGTTAAATCAATCAAATGAATGATTCCCAATCATCGTCACTGTCGTCTGTCGAGTTCTTCACAGTACCCAAAAAGAAAGAAATGTTTTTTAAAATGGGAGGGATAAACAAGAAGGGGCGTGATTGTCAAAAGAAATCCTTCAACAAACTGATGATACGGCTGCCGTCCAGGTGGTAATTTAGGCTGTTCTGGCTGTAGGCATCAAACGAGTGAGTGTCAGAGGACAGCGATTGAAACGAAACGAGGGGGGAGGGAGGGCTTCTCCTCCCTCCGGCTTTCTTCACTTTTAGGTGTCTTTTTTGTGTCCCGACCGCCGCAAGTCTCTGCACTTGTGACAGTAAAAGATGTCGGGGACGTTGGACTTTTTGATCTTGGCGCAGGACAAGTGGACCCATATGCTGCACTGGTTGCACTCGATCATCGGCCGCCCGGCGAACGGCTTCCCGCAGTAACAGGTGATCAAGTCCCATGAGTCATCGCCTGTGTGGGTAAGGAGGTCAGAGTTAGAGGGGGACACGTCACCGGGAGGGAGCGCCACGCTAAGCCGCGGTTCCTACCTGACTCGACCATGATGTCTTCGTCGGCGATCCACGTCTCGCCCTCGCTGGAGCTCATCTCCGCTTCCCGGATGGAGTCGTCGGCCTGCGTCTTCACGCTGGAGGTGGAGCCCCCGTGCGCCGCCAGCTCCTCCCGGACCGCCCGCACCTCGCCGCTGGAGTTCCGCACCTCGGAGTCCGTCTCGCTTTGCGTGGCCGAGCTCTTGGGCTTCTTGGCTTTGGGCTGTTTGGAAGAGTTTTTGCTGCGCTTGATGCGCGCCCGCTTCTCGCCCTCGCTGCTGCCGCTGTCGGCCGCCGACACGGCCGAGCCCAGGGACAGCTTCTTCAGCTTCTTGTCCTTTTTGCGCTCTGCCTTGGAGGCCGACTGGCTCTCGTAGAGGGAGTCTTTGAGGCGCATCTTGTCCAGCAGAGTGCTGTCGGAGTGCATGCGCCGAATGTTCTTGCCCTTGTTCGCCCGGGCTTTTCGGACAAACGTGTGGATGGTGTGAATGTCGGAGCTCCCGTCGGCCCAGGTGTTTCCCATGGAGCTGCTGCCCCCGCCGCCTCCATCTACCGACAGCCCTGAACTGTGTGCAGAGCTGGACGAAGTCGGAGACCAGGAACTTTCCTGCAGGGGTTTCAAAAAAACCAAAACAACCACATTGTTAACTCGTCTTTACACCATTTTCCCAGCAGCAATGTATTCAAATACAGGTTTAACGTTAGAATTTTTCAGAACTGAATAAAGATATGATAGATTTGCAGAGTTTATTTAATCAAATATTGATCAGACAAATAAATGTTACCCCAGTTAAGATCTTTCTGTTTATCAATCACTTTTTCATCATAACCGCTCACTTTAATGGCCCAGGCACTACTTTTTTGTTTTAATAATTAAACTTTATTTGCAAGGACAGCAGTTTTATTTCAATGCGTGTGATAAATAACTTTTCCCAGCTTGAACTTTACACTTAAACCCTGCTCACATATCCAACAACATGACTGTGCAGCCCCTGTATTCACTCCACCATGAAAAAAGGTTTACCTCTTTTGGACTGGGGATGTAACCAGCATAAGCCAGGACAAAGCTGCAGAACTTGTTGAAGTCTTCAACAGTCCTCTTCCTCCTCTCTGGGGGCTAAAGAGTGCAAAGACCTTTGTTAGAGAAGGGGAAGCTGAACTCGAAATGGAAAAATATTCATTTCATCCTCACAAATGCTTACCAGAGCTTCAGTTTTGCACGTCAGGAGTGAATCTGTTGCAAATGACAGAAACACAAAAGACATATTCGTGAGTTACAAGTGACCAAGCTCGATTTGCTCAGCGTTAGATTGGAAACAGCCTTTAAATCGTGAAGCGCAGGGTCGCCTGGAGGTGCGTTCAGAAACGGGCAGACAAATGCTAGCGTTAGCTTGCTAACACAGCTCAATAACTTAATCGGTATTACTCTCCTCGAGCGTGCCGAGCCTATTCAAAAGCCATGTCCAGTTCCGTTTATCGGTAGTAATTAAAGGGCCAAAAATCGAGTAAATAATTAGCAAATATGCCAAGAAAACGTCACCGCTAATAGTCTGCATCCAAGTACGGCAACCGGTGTCAATTAGACACTATCTTTGAACTTCAAACGCACCGTTAACGTCCAAACAGCAACCGCACGTCGATTAAAACACCGTATGTTTGACAAAAGTTTGGTTTTGAAAAGAGGCTGGTGACAACGATGGCAAAAAAAAGTGTTATTTCGAAATGCCATCTGCTAACGTTAGCTGACATTTAGAGGGGAAGCTAACAACAGGTTATGGCTTTTTGCAGCGGTAACGGTAAGCGAGCTTATTAGGAGTTGTTCAGTCGCATCTTAACCGAATTGACCGATGGTTGAACAGTTATCAATTAACTATGTGAGGCACGGACTGGACAAATAGCCAACTTGCACGGTTGATTTCTGGAAATAGAAGTGTGAGGTTCAAGTTGGAAAGAGCAGCAGCTTGAGGGCTAACTTAGTATTAGCAATGAGCTGCTAAAAATGCATCGGGCGTGTCGGGTTTGTCAACTACGACGGTCGAGCTAATGCTGAAATAAAGATCTTTTTAGTGAACTGTTTGACCTACTCGGTTTAAAACAGACCAGTTATGGCGGTTTTCATCGGTGTGGCAACATTGCTTGTTTAGTAAGCTTGCAATACATGCTAGGTTATTCGGCGCGTTAACCAGCTAGCATGCTAATCGAACTGAACAATATAACACTCGGCAAGCAAAATACATAAATCTTACCGAAACAACGTGGAAGTCACACTACATAGCTTTTTTGGCAGTTTAAAAATATGAAGTTCATCAGTTAAGTGTGAACTATGCAAGTAGTAAAGCATACGCAATCGAACCCAATACCAACATTAGATTAGCAAGCTTTAAGCTTCCCAAACGACAGTTTTCCCACTGAAAACAATTACGCAACAATAAAAATATTGATTTCGCGACATTTCGACAGTATATAAAAGACATACCTTGGTGATCAGACATTATGTCAAGCATTGTCGCCTCACCGACAAGGCCTCAATCCTGGAAGGAGAAGCAGTTTGAGAGCTAGCCGGAGAGCAGCGGCCGTCGCTCGGAGTCTTGCCCAGTGTGACTGCACCTTACCGCCGGGTAACTTCAGCCACAAAAAGCCCACGACACGGATAACCGAAGAAAACTCCTCTCCAACACACTTCCCGCCCGAGTCGAAGCCGTATTATTCCCCCGGTGGGGACTTTATAACAACGGCTACCGTTAACGTCGCAGAAACAAAATAGTTGTTCCACAGTCGTTTAACGTGCTATACTTAAAGATCCCCTTTCCTCGTCCGTGCATTTAGTAATCCATCCATCAAAAAAGACAACGCGATAGTTGAGCCTCAATAAATAAACTCTGGCAATAATAGCAAATCCATAGTAGGAACTTCTCATCTGAAGTTTTTCTATCCTTCTCCGTAGGCATACAGACAACCAGAGTTCGGTTTTTTTCCGCACGGAGCTCTCCGTGCGCGGCAGAAACCTCTTGAGTGGTCAATACTACATTGGATCATCCGGAGGGAGATAGCGGGAGGGATGTTATACTGCAATTGGCTTTCAGGGTTGCCATTGAGAAACGGATTGGCTATTACAGCGAGCAGAGGCTGGACCAGTTACGCGAGCTGATCCAATCTAGAAACAACTTTCTTGAAGCTACGGTGAAGTACGCCTGTGGTGCATGCCGGGAAAGGTAGTTCCTTTGCAGGAATTCACCCTAATTTCTTTCAGAGCCGGATTTTTTCTTAACTTCATTTCCCACCAGTAGTTGCAAGGAAATCGTAATGAATTATGGGATGTGATGTTTCTGAATCCGAACATGCCTAAAACAACTCAAGCCCTAACGAAACAGACAGGATTTTCACCCTGCAAAGAAAGCTATTTTATCTTTATAACACTCCTATCCCAACTTTAAGTCATGTTACTCTTTAATTGAACGTTACAGTTCCGTTAAGACGTCATTCTTTTCTGGTAGTTTCCCCCTTTAGCTCCGTGTAATGCTAGCAAGCTGAACCTTTCCGTGTCTACCATTGTCAAGCATTACCATGCTGTCTGAGCTCTTACAAGGCACTGATACCGGAGGTTTTCTCGTAATACAAGGTAAATGAAATAAATGTAGTGGCATTTCCTTTTACATGGGACAAAATAGCATACACGTGGCTAATGCTAACTAAAAATGGTACATCGATAGATTCTTGTCGATACTCTGGGCGGCACCTTCTGAAGAGCTTGATCAATTCTGCACTGAACAGGTATTCAAAGACCTAAATATTTGTTAGTGTACATATTCAGTAAAAGCACAATCAATAAGATGTCTCTTCATATATTTTGTATTATTAGGGATGAGGCTGTGCATGTCATTTGCTTTGACGTGAGTGAGGAAGAGCTAAAAGATGGATTGTCCACATCTCTCACTCAAAGGTAATTATTGTTATGGGTGGCATAAATTATTACCTAGCTTGTTTTATTTCAATATATTTAACAAGATTTTGTTTAATCTGATTTTGGCATGTTTGGCTGTCACTCTTATGTGTTTGGTTTTTCATACATTGTTTACACAAAGAAAAAAATACCTTCTTTTATTAAAAGTTATTACAATCATGTTGTCACAACTTTACGATTAGACTGCTTTTTATAACTTAAAAAAAAACTTAAAGAAAACTTATTTTCTATGATCCTTTGTCATTTTTTCCAGACTACATCTACACAATGCTTATATGGACCCCCTTGGGTGGTCCGATCACCCAACCTTTGCTGTTCACCAGTTCAATGCAGTGGACCTTGCACATCTGGTTAAACAAACATCACACACCAAACCAGCTACATTAGTAATAGACTCTCTGTCGTGGATATTGAGACATGTGAGTCCCCCTGCTGTCTGCAAGACCATCCAGCAACTCAAGAAAGGTAAAGAAATGTCAGTGGCATGCTGAAATTTTAGGCAGTTTTGCTCGAATGTATAAAGAGTTTTAGAGTTACTTTGGCCTTTTAATCTTGTATTTTGGTATTTTTCTTTTAGACAAAAGGTCCCACCATTATCATCATCGGACCTAATTGAGTGAAATGTGAAACTGTAAGACCATGCAGTGCATTCTCTATTTAAGGATTATTTTCTGTCCGTTCATTAGGGGGAGCTGTGAGAGCTATAATTGGCCTGCTCCATGCAGACATGCATCAGCGCGGCACTGTGGGAAGCGTCTGCCACCTGGCCACTTTTGTCATTACAGTCGCACCTGGAACGAAGGCAGATGAAGCGGTGGCAAAGATTACAAAGCGGTCCAAATCTGGGAAAGTTTTGCAAAACGTAAGTAGTGTTCTGAACAGAATTACTTCAAAATATTTCACATTTCAAGTCACTGACAGCAGTGTATTTTTTTATCCTGTAGGATGAGATATTCAGTGTCAAAGAGGACTTTACAGTCACTGTGCTGAGCACGCCCTACAATCCTGAACACAAGCAAAGTGACACTATCGAACAACAGGTGCAATTCAACGCGGGCTTAAGGCCCTGTCATAAACACATGAATAGGGTAAAGATGGACACTCATGACTGGGCTAAAAACCGTCTTCCTTGTGTCTCTGCAGGTGGACCCGACAGCAAACCTCACCTTCAATCTCCGATTGTCCGATGCAGAGCGAGAAGCGAAGGAAAAACTCGCGCTTCCCTTCGTCTTCAGCAAAGAAAAGTCAGAAACACTTTCACCAACTGCATAGTTCAATGCTGTTGTTCCACATTTTATCGTTTAAAAGATTTTCAAATCTTAACGGCTGTTTTTAATCCCACAGGAAAACAGCTCTGATCCACTCAGGACCTGGATCAGGACGGATTCTTTATGAACCTGATGCTAGCGACGACTATGATCAGGAGGACCCCGATGACGATCTCGATATCTAAAGAGATATTTATGATCCCTGTTTTCATATCCTCTTAGCTTTAAATGACACTGAGTTATGTTCAGTTGCAGAAAAAAAATGTATAATATCTTTGAAGAACTTTCAAAATGTAAAGTCATATGTGAAGTAATATCTCTTGTGCCTGTAAAAAAAGGTAAAATCTTTACAAAATATAAAATACTTTTTCCTATTTGTGATTGTTTTGTTTTATTTGATTACTTTGTAGCTTTTCATAATATATAACATTTAATTCACAGATACATCTCCTGAAATACATCACTGCTTTTTGCTACACAAAAAAGAAAAAACCTTTGGAGGAGTCACGTGGTGACTAAATTAATACACTGTTACAGTAAATATTTAAGATGCTGAGTTCTTATCCTACTTCCATAGATCCTGAGAATCTCCATTTTAAATTATAATCCTGCACCCAATTATAGGTTAAAGAAATATCATTTTGGCTCGTTAATTCTAATGGTTTAGTTTTGTGGTATTTTTCTGGTATAATAAGCTTTTTGTATGAGTAGAAAATTGGAAATACATTTCTGTTTGAGCGATTGTCATTTTTGCTCTTAACTTAGTTTTGTAAAAACACAACCTAGACACTTGTTACTTTAAATAATCTAGTAGCACCAGATATTTTATATTACTATTGGCAATCGCACAATAATCTTCCAGTTCATTGACAAACAAAACCACCGGACATAAAACGCTACCTGGACAGATTTTTATAGCACACAATTTGCCCATCCGTGTCTGTTTGTTTTCTTTCCACGTGGACGTGCTGCGCGCACCCACGGACCTCGTCACGGAAGTGACGGCAAGGCGGCTATGGCGGCTCGCAGTTTCATTCCGGATTTCCACTGGACTACAAACTGATTTTAACCGGGCCGGTTAGACTTTGGAGAACTTTTGCAAAACTGTCTCTTTTCGGATGCCGCGCAAACCGAGGTCCCATTGAACCGGAGCTTGTCTATGAACGGAACCTACAGCTTTTTGGGGGTATTTTTGTCCGAGGTTCAAGGTGGTCACCCTGTCGAGCTAGCGATAGCTCCGAGGCTAATAGCTAGCGTTGGTTAGTACACACAGCTAGCTCCGGAGCTAGCTTGTCAACGAGCTGCGTGCTAAGGTCCACACAGCAGCCGCTTTTCTTTTGACCACGTCGGCACATGTCTGTCTCCGTTACAATGCGACTGCTCTTTATTTGGGGATAGTTTTTATCACAAGTGCAAACGAGGTACTCACACGTTTGCCTGGCCTCTTGAAAATTTGAAAGAGCTAGTTTGGCGGCTGAGGCTAAACGACGGATTTTGACTGTGCAGCAAGCAAGTGGCCCCCCCAACCTGTAATTACAAGAGCGAGTTTGCTCAAAAACTCGTTTTTTTTTCAGTGAGAATTGAAGTTGAGTGTCTGTGGGGTCTTTACGTGCTCGTCAACATGTTGAAGACCCGGCAGTGTCTACTTGGCATCCGCACTTTCCTCAGCGTTACGTCCAGAATATGGGGCTTCATCATGTACATCCTCAGGAAGCACCTACGAACGGTGAGAAGGGTTTTCATCATGTGGCAATTGATCCTGACCTGTGAGCCGAGGCTTTACATCACCCTCACCTCCGTGGACCTTAATGCTACTGTTTGACATCACTTTTGCTCACAGAAGTGCTTGATGGTCCCTACAGCGTTGTTTCTCACCTGGGCTGTCTCATAATGGGCACACACCAATATCAGATTTGGCCAATTTGCTGTGGATGTCTTTGATCATCCAGTCCAACAATATGAGGTTATTTCTGAACAGTGTTTACTATAAAGGAAAAGAAGAGAGGCCATGTTTGCATCACAGTGGTTCTGTAGAGAGTCGCATCGGTGTGCAAACCCATTGACTAGTCTCGGTATCTTTTCGAGTTTACAACTCCTGCTCTTAGACTGTTCAATATGTGACTTTCTCACATGATTTAGTAAAAGGAGCAAAAGCGCTTATTTGGATACAACCGTCAGAATTTTTGTTGTGAATTTTAAAAAGTGGCATAGAAAGTTCCGAAAAATGGTAATTGATTTTGAATCTGGTCGCAGATTGATTGATTGATTGATTGATTCAGCTCTTATCTAGGTGGTGTTATTAGCTGAGACTGTATGACTGAATAGCTCTTCCAGCTCCAGTGCAAAGTCAAAACCCTGCACGTTGAAGTATCACATTAAGATCAGCTAACTCCAGTCTCCAGGTAACCTTCAGCCTCTCACAAACACCCCTTCAATGAGCCTGACATTTAGTCGGACGGACGTCACCTGCCGGAGACTTATAAGCGCACACAGGTGCTGCCGAGTTGTTAACAGTTGCGCGTATGTGGTGTAACATGAGTGGACTTCGACTCCAGCAGCGTATCAAACCTAACAAAGCTTGGAGGAGTGCCCCGGGTGTTGTAATCATCTCGCTGCTGGAGGTTTTTGTCGGCTCTTTATTGTGTGGCCGTCGCAGTCAACAGGCCCTGGGAGAGAGCAGCTGAGTCCAGGCCGTGGCTGAAGTGAGAGGGATTATGTCAGCACAGAGAGTGCACTGTTCTCACCAACAGTTTAGCGCCGTTGTTTACAGGCCGCGATGCTCGGCAAGAGCGTCGCCGTCCAGGGAGGGCTTTTTGTGCCGAGCATTGACGCGCACAGGTGATGGCGAAGGCAGACGCTGGAGGTGTGCGGAGCATTCAGGACAAACATCAGATGGGTCCTCTTGGACCCAGCTGACTCGCATGTATGAGCCTTTTTTTTTAATAAATCGAATAATCTGTCGTGTCGCTCCCTGTCCTGTAAACTGGGCCACAACTCGGAGCGACCTGGTCCAAGAAAAAGAATGGATCAATAAAACCTTTATTGGATTATGAAAAGTAAAGATGATCATAATCCCTTGCACTCTACTGTACTGTCAACAAGTGACGAGATGATTGTTTATTACACTTACTGACAGCAGTGTTACGTAAGGGCTGTGCTCATTGTCCTGCCTCAGACCGGCCGCTGTCCAGAGACACTCGGCTCATCTACAGAAAAGTCCCAGCTTTGGTAACGCTCACATGATTTGTTACTTCGATGACAAAAATGAAAGTGAAACTATTTTTAACTGTCAGTTAATCATTTATGGAAATTCCTGTTTAGATATGACAGGCGAAGAAATTGATCAGTTTATTATATTTTTATTTACATTATTAACTGGCCCAAAGAAATGTAATTTCATCTGGGTCTGCAGACAAAATCATTAATCACTCAGTCAGGACAGGGATGGACAATTTAATCAGAAGACCTGTTTTTTGGCAGCCCCCCGTGGACAGTTTGTGCTGGTTAACCAGGTTCCATGCGATTTAAAAAAAAAATAAATAAATAAGAGGGAAGACTTTGAAGTAAAAATATTTAGATTGTTAATTGTGTTTAGCCAGGGCATGGGACTCAGTTGGAGTTTACCGGACAGGGATTCAGGGGTGCAGTTGGGTGGCTCGGGTTGGGGCTGAGGTCCCCCCCCCCGTGGTGCCCAGCAGCTGCTGCCACCACAGCAGGCTTTCCCCAAGCTCCCCCTGCCAGGCAGCAGCAGCGGGGGGGGGTGGGGGTGGGGGGGCGCACAGGGAGGCCCTGCACACCAATAAGGCAGCGAACAGCTCAGTCAAAGTCACCCTGCGAGTCCTCCTCTCTGTGCGCGCCCCCTGTTCCGCTGACACCCGCCGACAGCTGGGGGGATAAAAATAGCCCTGTGAGGAGAAGTGCAGAGCTGCTGGGCATGACTGGCGCTCGAAGGGGTCACCGCCGGGGTCCTTTGTGGCCAGAGCCGGAAAGTTACGCCTGAGGAGATGCAGAGCACAGAGAACCGACTTGATTTCAGTATTTCTTTACGGTGTCTTCATCCATCAAGACTCACTCATTGTAAACAGGTTAAATAATGAGAAAATCTTAGGACGCTAAATTTAGAAAAATAGTCTCATTCACGTCGTCCTGAGCAGTTTGTTTTGGTCTTGATCCCTTTGAGTCCATAAGAAGAGGCAGTGATCCACATTTTTCATGCCACTGATTCCCAAAACAATAAACTGGAATTTGATGTAAACATGAAGTAAGTTTCTGAAAAGAAAGCTGCACATTTAATCTTGGGTAATTGGTGACGTGGGCTCTCTGTTTTTCTCTACGTTGGGATGTTTGAACTGTGTTCTGGTTTTCCTGTGGACTCTCTGGCTAATTTGCCTCATTCATTTTCAGATAATCCAGTATCAGACGGTGCGATACGACACTTTGCCCCTGTCACCTATCTCCAGAAACAGACTCAGTGAGTACACGCTTGCTTTTGATATGTGACCTCTCTTTTCCCCTGTGGAAAACTGGTAAAAAATACCAGACACGCAATGGCACCAATTTTATATGTGAAATATGGACATTACACCAGTGTTTCTTGGAGGAAGAAGGAAGAGCAGCTCTCAGGTGCGAGACCCGTGCCACTTCCTCACCTGTATGACCACCAGCTCAGACACAATTCGCCTCCCTAATCCTGTTTACTCTCTGCTCAGATTAGCTGTCACAAACTCATCTGTGTGTCACGACCCGGGCCAGTCGCCCTTTGCTCTATTTTTGTGCTCCCAGGTCGTAATAACACGCCTTTGTTAGCTTTGCTCCACCAAAAAAAAAAAAAATAAACTGCATTTTGCAGTGGTAAAAAGCTCCAGATGGGACCCAAACATGTAGACGAGCGAGACTGAATCTGTTCAGTGAATGAAAACGGCCTGATTTGACTGTAGACGGTAAGCCCCGGCCACACAAACAGCTATTGTTCCTCAGATGCTTTTCGGTAAGACGTGCCGCTCCACAGTTCAGTTCATACTGTCATATGATGGAGGGGGGGGGGGTGGCGGAGCTGAGCGTCCCGCGGTGGATTTTGGAACGCCGTGGCATGGAAGTCTAGAAGTGGAGAGGAAATGCAAATGTGAGCGGCATCACTTACAGCCGGTCGTGACTTCCCCCGACAGTGGAGAGCTCATTCTGGAGCGAGCTCTCCACTTAGAGGAAGGATTGTGTTTCACTTCAGCTTGACTTGGCTCTCATTCACTCCTCTGACCTCCGCTGGACATCCAGGTCCAGTCCCCACTGAATGAGGGATTCCTTTGGACTTGTTTCTCTGTAAGGCGGAATCAAAGCAGCAGTATTAGAAGTGCTTTTTAAATCCATAGCCTCATGAAGCCTCATCAGAGAACATGTCTTTCTGTTTCCTCCTTTAAACGGACTGAGACCCAGAGTCTTTGTCAACAGACAGATATAAACTTTTGGACCTCTGCTGTCAGGCTTGATCTGTAATGATCTTGAGGAAAGACCTCCTTTTGATCTCCATGTCCACCTGTACACTTCCTGAAGAGGGAATCACCATCTCTTCTTGGGATTTACATGAAATCAACCCCATACGGTCAAGGATCCAGTTCTTTGGGTTTCATTGGACCTGTAATAAAGAAAAGCCCCAGCATTGTGTGCTCGTCCAAAGCAGAGTGGTGATCCGTCTGTGAATATCACTTTCTGCCAGTCAGCCACAGTGCACGCTGCTTTCTGCAGCCCAGTGTATTTGTTTTCTTCTGTTGAGTCATCGATAGTTTATGTTCCCATGTCCGTCAGACACTTTCTAGTTTGCTCACTCACAGTAACTTCTGTTTTTGCCCATTAAGTTATTCTTTTTTTTTTTTTTAATGATTAGATGATCAAACCTGTGTGTTTTCCTTTGACAACTTATTTAAGATTTTAAACACATCTGACAAAGAATTACCAACGTTTTCCCCACGCTCTGAGTCACGTTACCCTCTTGAGGAGTTTTGTAATCCTTCCCATTATTTCCACTCTCGGGTTGTTCCCTGCCAATCAGTTCGATGCAACAGCCCGTTAAGCTCTGCAAGCTTTTAGCTGCAGATTCAATTGTTTTGTACAGCTTGTACACATATTTATCTTAGATTTACAAATCACAAGCGATCCAAATTTCTTCTCCTGCATTGTTTGTTGGCCCCACTCTTAGCTGAAGTAACTTCAATGCAACTAAACCTAACATTTCTGAACGTGTAATGAATTTAATTTGACGGGCACATTTCAGGGTCGCTTCTTCTTTTAAAAAGCAAATGTATTCCCTCATATGTTACTTGTTGTACTTTTATAACATTTGACCTAAATATATCGGCCCATATTTCCCCCTAGATGCAGTAAAGAGGAAGATTCTGGTTCTGGATCTGGATGAAACGCTGATCCACTCCCACCATGACGGCGTCCTGAGGCCCACAGTGAGACCTGGCACACCGCCAGACTTCATCCTAAAAGTACGAGCTTCACTTTTCTGTGTGTGTGACCCCGAAAACGCCCCGGCTGACCCGACGCTAAACCAGCCGTGTTTACTCCCCCACAGGTCGTTATTGACAAGCATCCGGTCAGATTCTTCGTACATAAAAGGCCACACGTTGACTTCTTTTTGGAAGTGGTGAGTGTCCATCCTGCTTCATGTCATAAGCTAATATTTGTTCAGCATAGAGGCCCCTGACCACTCACTGAGCGCCGACTCAGACCTGTGCGCACCTGCCATTGTGTGGCTAAAACGCTCTGTGTGCACAGGTGAGCCAGTGGTATGAGCTGGTGGTTTTCACGGCCAGTATGGAGATTTACGGCTCAGCGGTCGCCGACAAGCTGGACAACAACAGGAACATCCTGAAACGCAGATACTACAGACAGGTACCGCCCTGCCCCCTCACAACGAGTCCTTGAGAGTTGGTGATCTTTGCTTTTGGTGCGTAAAACCCCTGTGCTTCCTCTCTTTTGCCAGCACTGTACGTTGGATCTAGGTAGTTATATTAAAGACCTGTCTGTAGTACACGATGACCTGTCCAGTATCGTTATCCTGGACAACTCGCCTGGTGCTTACCGCAGCCATCCAGGTAAGAGATGCCCAGTTTCCCCGTCTCCTTCATTCCAGAAGGATTTTAGAATAGATGCATTTTCAGTTTGTCCATTTTTGTATGCTTTTAAATGCAAACCAACTTGTTACTGAGCCAACATATGGCCTTTTAGCTATAAATGAGTCAGTGTTTCAGTTTTGATAAAGTTCTCTGACCCTTGATAATTTGAGTAAACTACAGGAACAGGAATTTGTTTGGGACGGCCTTATATTTAATTCCATAAACTCAATTGTCTATTTCCATCCATCACACCATACAATACTACAACAACGGACATAGTTTCATATTTCAGCGTGAGCTTAAGCTGTGATGTTTTCGACAGCTTGGGGTTTAGATTTAGCAGCTTATTTGCCACACATCTGACATAAACAGTTTTTCCTTCTGGTGCAGGAACAGGAAAAATACATTAACGGTTGTGTCTCAGTGCAAGGCTCCGTTTACACCCCTGACTAAGCCACCATCCTCTCACAGAGGAGCATAAAGTCACAACCACGTCTCACCTCTGATGTGACTAACTGTTTTTCTGCCCTCCAGACAACGCAATACCCATCAAGTCCTGGTTCAGCGACCCTAGTGACACAGCACTTCTTAACCTGCTGCCTATGCTGGATGCACTAAGGTAACGGGCCTCATTTAGTTGGCATGAAAGCAAACCGGGGAGGCAGAGGCTTGAGTTTGGGGCTTATTTTGACGGGTGTCGCATGTGGCACACACCCTCCATGAATTCTAGCTTTGTTAGAAGCTTGGTCAGCAGGCAAAGTTCATTTTTCGTCTCCTTCGCTGTCTTGCAGGTTCACTGCTGACGTGCGCTCCGTCCTCAGTCGAAACCTCCACCAACACCGGCTCTGGTGATTGGCTCAATCGAGAGGGGCGGGGCTTGTAAACCGGCCTTTTTTTCTCTCTGCTGGCCTCCATCCTGCCCTGCAATCCCACGCAGACGACCCACCAGCCCTCTCTGAGCCTCTCGGACCTGTCCTGAGGAGATTAGGGTTGGGGTGAGCGGCTGAATCGGGATGAACAGTTCGGGATCACCGGAACCCACAAACTACTGGGAAAGGAGTGGAAGCCAGCTTTTCTCTTTTTTTTTTTCTCTTCTCCCCGTTCTTGATTCTTTATTTGTTTTTGTTTTTTTTCCAAAACAAAATGGAGCCTCTCTGCCTTACAGCTCCTGATACTGACTGTGTGCGTATGGAGCTGAGCTTGTGTACGCAAGTTGGAGTATGCTTGCCGAGTTCGTTAGTCCTTTTTAAACTTTTTTGAAGATTTGGGAGGGGGGGGGAGGATCCACAAAGCAACAAAGACAATTCCACATTATTATTTCTTCCTCTTCTCCGTCATCATTGTTGCACTTCAGCAAACAACTCATCAGTTTCTGTCTTACCCTTTTGGAGCAAATGAGTAGGGGAAAATAGATAACTACCCCTTTTTGGATCACGTTTTTGCCCCAGCGTCGTCTCATTCATTTTTGAGGTACTATTTTCTCTTAAAAACACAAACTTGATGGACTTTTTCTTGCAACAAACCATCCACGGGCTTTTTCTTCTGTTTGGGCAGTTCAGTTTACCCCCCCCCCACCCTTCAGATGTAACCTTCGCTTTTTCCCCCCCAAAGTTCTCATTGGGACTCTGACAAAGACTTGAAAGTTGTGAGGAAAAAAGAATGGCTTGTAACGATATGTGGACTGCCGTGCCGCCTTTCCATAACTGATTGTTTCTCTGTTACCATGATATATTATAGAATGACTTCTACACACCAGGAAAATCCTTGACATTTGATGCCATCCTCGTTTTGTCTAATAGGAATTTGCACTTAAGTTTGCCCCCTCGGTTTTTGTTGCAGTTTATTCTCTATTTTATTCAAACCTGCAGCCCCCTTTTGTTCTGTTTTTCTCCCAATCCTCCGACTGGAGGGGTTCAACAGTAACACCCTCCATCTCAAAATGCCTTCTGAACAACGTCGGTCTGGTCAAGGCTCACAGCGGCTTCTTATCGGCTCTGTCTCCATGTCTGTGTTACTAATAAAACACTCGTCAGTATCGACCGGTTATTGTTCAGCTTGTTTTTCTTTTAATCCAAATAATCCTGCTGCCTCCTTTTTCCTCCCCTCATATTCGAGCCCTAACGCCTGTGCAGTTTGAATGACTGCACTTGAGGGACAAGAAACTATTGAGTTTTTATCAACTGCTGCCATCATGTGGTGGAACAGGAAACTGATGTGATGGAGTCATTGTTTTTTATATCGATCAAACCTCTGTAGAAATGCTGAAGATTACAATCGTCATCTGGTTGGCCGGCAGGCTATTAAATTACTTTTTGTACTTTCGCCTTTTCATGAGTATTTTTAGACGCACTAGTTTAATTTAATTGGTATGCCAAACACTGGTGTGTTTCTACGGTCAGACTCTGGAGTTACAGAGAAAAACAGGTACGTTTTTACATCAGAGGCTCACTGGAGGCCCGGCGGTAATGTTCCTCTGTATTAAAATATTTTATATTCCAGTGTGACAAAAGGAAGTGGTGTAAAGGTTAAGCAGAAGTTAATGTATTTATACAACTTCTTGATGCCTCTATACTTAGTTTAAGTGTGAATCCGCACTGTGACAAAAAAACCTCCACTACAGTAACGTTGATGCATTTTGCTTCCGATGTTGTCTTTGTCAACAGTTCCTGGAGAAAGTTGCTTCCAGGAATGTCAGTTCTCTTTTTCCCCTCTATCTGTATAACGATCTAAGAAGTACACAGCATACCTGGCCATGCCCTCTTATTTAGTCCCACAGTAATTGCAGAATTATTGACTAGAGCTTCCTGATTACGCATTTTAACTTTGATTATTGGACATGCCTGAAAGGAGGCAGAGGCGACTTCCAAGAAGAATCCAAAATTTCTTCTGAGAATAGAAAACATAACTGAGTAAATTCTAAATGGCTACACACAAACACCCTGATATGCAGGAGACGTGATAAGACTTGCTATTGGAACGACCCACCGTATACAAGGAGGTTTAAATCCACCCAGAAGCAGAATGTAGAAATAGTCGGAAGGACGCACAATCTTTCACCTTTAAAACTCTGTTAACTCATGCAGATGCTTTCATATTCGTACTGCTGTCTGCCTCATCGCCTTATCCAAACACATCAGAAACATGAGCATGCTCAGTGACTCATGGAGCTGGGAGGCGCTTTCACAATAGACAGGTTTATTACATTAGGAAATAGCCAAAGCACATGATTTGATAACGACAAATACTGAATGGTTTCCTTTTTGCCTTAGGGTGATACATTGGTTTGGGGTATTTCTCTTAAATGCGATTTCCTTTGTCCATATGGAGGGAATATAATTTAAGATGAATATATATCAAGATCAGACTGGGAGATGTCTTTATTTGTGCTGATAATTGGGAAACTATCAATTAACTATGGTCATTATAGACCTATGATTGAATAAAAAGACTTTATATATGTTAAGATTCATTATCCGGATATGAGAGAAGGTAAATATCCACAAATGTTTGAAAGGCGGACAGAATTCAGCCTTTGGTGGGGCTGAATGTCGCATGTTTTGGAGTTTCCCCGCTCAGCTCTGCTGCTGGGCCGCGGTCATATGACAAGGACAGACGCCTCCTCAACGGCCTGCCCTACGTCTGTGTGCGCAGCTGTTGTTGAGAGTAAAATGCTTCCCCTGATTTTTTGGGACGCACAAACGTGGATGTAAATAACATGTCTGAAATCAAAAGAGGATTTAGTCTCAAATAAAGCTCCGAAATGTATCCGTTCTGAGACAGGGCGAGCTACACCCAGGGAACTAGAGTGTGCATACGTCATGTTGTTATTGTATCCTTCCGCCGCAGTCGCACTAGGAAAACAGCTGTGGCAAGCTAGCGCTAGTTAACGTCGGCTGTGTTTGTGTGTCAGCGATTTGAGCCGTTCTCTAAGCAAACAGCTATCGTACCAACCCGGAGTGACCGACTTTATTGTCTGTCATCTCTTTCAAAGATGAAGTTTCAGTACAAAGAGGAGCATCCCTTTGAGAAAAGGCGGTCCGAGGGCGAGAAAATAAGGAAGAAGTACCCGGACAGGGTTCCTGTAAGTAGCTAACGTTAGCCTGGTAGCTAGATATGTGCTGTTAGCAGGTTCACGGCTCAGGATTTCTGGGTTCAAAATAAAGCTTTTGTAGGTATTTTTTGTGACTGTTAACACGAAGTGAAGTCAAATAAAATATGGATGTAATTATTCCGAGTTGTTGTGCCACGTTAGTAAACGTCTCAGCAGATAGCTAAAACCGATAGAGGTTAACCCAGGAACTGCGGCCGCGTTTCACAGGCCACCCAACGATGTTCGCTCCATGTAAGCCCTGAATGGCTAAATCAGATTTTAATTCGTCAGGTGATGAAGTAACGCCAACCTTTACGGTTACGTTTACCAATACGGTAAAAAACATAAAAATAAAAAAGACAGGAAGCTGGGCGTCTTTTTCAGGCTATACATTGAACCGCAAACAGCGGTACTGCCCAAAATAGTTGGTGTCAACAAATGGGTAACTTGTTTACGTCGTTTTGGCTCATGGAGGTAGATTTTGTAGCCCACGGTCTTCAGCTCACTGCTTGTTAAACTGACCTAACAAGATTGTCTGGGTCATGGCCTCTCCTGTCTTGGGCGTTTTTTTATTTTCTTAATTATAATGTTTAATTAGCTTTCATGTCCCAGCTGTATATCAGCAGTATTCATGTAAACACAATTTCTCTTTCAGTTAAATTCTCCAATCACCTCTTTAAAAGATACTACAATTTTTGTTGTCTACGTCTAATTTGAAATGTATTCCCCCATCTGATTGCTAGTCTAATACTTAGATGTTTGTGAAGGGAATACCATGAAGAAAAGTTTAACTATTTTTACTTTAATGTATCGTTAAAATTGTTACAGTTTATCTTTTTGTGCAGTGACTAATAATTTAATCTCTACATTGATAAGTTTCTGCTTGCTGTGTGAATACTTAGTGCTTTTTACAGATACAATTTTTTGACCACGATATAGTAAAGGAACTTACAATAGTTTCATTTTGTGTCCCCAGTCTTGTAATAAGGTCCAGCGACAAATTGTTACCACGAACATGTAATATTTTGTGTTAATTTTCCATGCCATTGTGTATACTGATGCAGTTTGGACACAAAGTCACATCGGAGTTGCTTTAGGAAACGCTTGACTGACAGTTCTGTAAATTCTCAGATCCTTTTTTTCAGAGAAAGGTGAAACGCACTGTCAAAGTCGTTCTCATTATGTACAGAGAGCCTTTTCTTGGTTGACATTCAAAAATCATTTCTTAAGAAAACATTGCGCAACAATTTTTTTCCCCCCTTCAGGTAATTGTGGAGAAAGCTCCTAAAGCCAGAATAGGAGATCTGGACAAGAAGAAATACCTTGTCCCATCCGATTTGACAGGTAATTATTCTGCTACTTTACACATTATTCTGTTTTGTCTAATCAGTTTTTCTTTTGAAAAATTTCTTCAACTCAATTTACTCGCTTTTCATCAGTGGGCCAGTTTTACTTCCTCATCCGGAAAAGAATCCACTTGCGGGCCGAGGATGCTCTCTTCTTCTTTGTAAACAACGTCATTCCACCCACCTCAGCTACCATGGGACTGTTGTACCAGGCAAGATTTTATGCTTTCTTTCTTTGTACAGTTAAAAAAAAAGGTTGAGCATCTGTGTGCATTTTTAATGACCAACCAACATTTCCCCTTCTGTTATTCTCAGGAGCACCATGAAGAGGACTTTTTCCTCTACATTGCTTACAGTGATGAGAGCGTGTATGGGAACAGCCAAAGGGAAATGTGATCCCCTTCAACCACTACCCACCTTTCTGAGACCTCCACGTTTCATTCATTTAAATATTAAATCCAGCTCAGCAGCCTATAGTTCCCAGAGTAAATATGTCAAATGCACTTTCACCTCCAGTACACCTTTTTCCCATCCACTTATGTCTCTGTTATTCTGCAGTCTGAATTGTATTTTTTTCTCTACTTTTCTGCAAGTACAGAGGTTAAGTAACGTCGTGGCCAGTTAAATTTCCTAGTTTTATAATTGGTCGTACTTAATGGAGAAAAAAGGTTTGAAGAAATCATGAAATCTTAGAAAACTAGAAGTTGGGTTGCAATTATAGTTCCATCTGGGTTTAAGGGAAGAAAATCGCATTATAATGTTTCAATAATTGATGATAAATAGAACAGCTGGGTGTCCAGTTTTGTTGGCTTGCTGTGGAATAGAAAGGTTTTGAGTATAGGTTAGGAAATCAATAGCTCTCAACACTTAAGTTTGCTAATTTTGTAAGTGGCAAGATTTTTTTGGTTTCCTTTTCAATTTACTGGCCAATTCAAATTTGAACCAGAGCATGTGCTGCCCTCCACCTGATCTTAGTAAGGAGAATGATAGAATTCAGACTACACCCTTCATCCTCTGCTTTCAGTGGTAAGAACATTATGTTGACTGCTACTTTGATTATTGTTGTTATTATTGTTAATTTTAGATGGCTCACTTTATTAAGCTATTGTAAAGCTGGGTGCAATTCTTCTTTTATAAGTTTGTCTCTTTTTTTTTTTTAAGACTACAGTTGGAACTCTGTATGCCGCTGCATAACTGGCTCTTTCTCTCCACTCATGACCATACATGATAAAATGTGATGAAAAATCCACTTGTAATTCTTGTCTTTCTTGAATAATCTCATTTTAATGGACTATCTGTCATCTATTTGCCTTTTTTTTTTAAACATAAATTGCTGAGCTGATTATCAAAATGACAGCACTGCCCAGTAAGCAGTGCTGTGGTCAGCACACATAGATACACATATATATATGTGTGTATAGATAGAGAGATATAAATAAATGTAGATATAATGCAATAACGAAGGAAAAGGGAGTAGATAAAGTCATGGACACTTGACGGGTATCTGAGATTGAACACGTCGAAAAACAAAGTGAAACAACAATTCCCAGAATGCAATGTGTACAATGTTGCGTCACTCTACACCGGAAGTGTAACCTTCGCCCGGATGTAAATCCTCACAATCTGTTTATATTTTGAGTTGAAGTTAAAAATGGTTTAATTCGCTTCGGCACTTAGACCTACAACCTTCTGACCGAAAACCACTTGGCAGTTTGAATCTAAATAAAAGACTGGCAAAACGACAAAGGTGAGACTCGCAAACTATTCCGGAAAAATAATGCACATATCCTAAAAAAAAAAACGCTACGTAGTTAGGCTGATCAACCAGCCGGGTCTAGAAACGTTTTCATTCTGGTATATTTAAAGACACACTTATATTATAAAGCCACATGTGAAATAATCGTTAAGGTACTTTTTAACACGTGTGGCTTTAGCCCATGTGCTGTAGAAATAAAATATTAGCAGATGTAGGAACTGCAGTCTATGCTAGCTTAGCATTTAGCCTCTCGCGGGACCTTTGCAAGGCCTCTGACTTCTGCATTTCCTATTGATCTGCGGTTATTTACTCAGTTTTCTGTATATTTATTCACCAATGTGGTATATAAAACACGTATGTTTACTCTACATTTCCCATATATATTGTTATAATCTGCTGTAACTGTAATTTCGACCCCCACCAGCTGGCCCCCCCACTGCCTGTCACCATGCCCGCCCTGTTGGAGAGACCCAAGCTGTCCAACGCAATGGCCAGAGCTCTGCACAAGCACATCATGAGGGAGAGGGAGCGCAAGAGACAAGGTGTGTCTCTTCTTATGGGTGCTCCGTTTCAGTATTTCAAAGAAGCCGGTGCAAAAAGATAGCTGAAACAACATTCTTTTCTCCAATGTTCATGTGTTTTGATGCCATTCCTTTTAGTTTGATTCCCTCCTAAATACCATATGCTGTTTTTGCAGAGGAAGAGGAAGTGGACAAAATGATGGAGCAAAAATTGAAAGAAGAGGAGGAGAGGAAGAGGACAAAAGAAATAGAGGAGAGGATGTCATTAGAGGAAACCAAAGAACAGGTAAGGAAATGTGACTGACAGAGACAGTTTAGTTTGATACCTTGAATGTTTTTGTAGCAACTGAGGATAGATTTTAACTTTCATAAAAATGTGGTACTCTATGAATTTCTTATTGACTCATTATTATTCTCTGCCTGGGTGTAAACAGGTCATGAAGATGGGGGAAAAACTGCAGGGGCTCCAAGAAGAGAAACACCAGCTTTTTCTGCAGCTCAAAAAAGTCCTTCACGAGGAGGAAAAGCGGCGGAGAAAGGAGCAGAGGTATTGGTGTTGATTTACTCAAGAATAGTGTGAGCACCGTTTGTATTGTATGGCATTGCTGTAAAAAGTCAGTTGCAGGTCTCTCCCTTTCAGTGATATCACAACACTGACATCAGCCAGTTATCAGACCAGTCTGCCCATGCATGCCGGACAGCACCTCCTCAGTATTCAAGGTGGGATGTCTAAAAACACAGCAATCTCTTTTTCTTACGTTAGCTCCATGAGTCTGCTCATTTTTCTGTATTTTTTTGGTTCGGTTCCAGGCAGTCCAGTCAGCCACAGTCGACCTGGCGCTCTGCTTGGAGAGCGGAGCAAACAGCTTTTCCCAACCGCTGTGATCCCTGTAAGTATAAAACTAAATGTCTGTGTCTGTCTGTACGGTTTTACATCTACATAAAGTCGTGTTTGCATGTCTTTTACGCTGATCGAGCATATTGAGCCTGTTTGACGTGTCTGCGTGGTCCTCTCTCAGGCCCGTCATTATCAGACGGCCGGATTCAGCTCCGGCTCCGCAGAGCACGGGCAGTTCAGCGGAGGCCAGGGGGTCCACGAGCCCTACGGGGTGGCTCAGGCCCAGCATCCCTCCAGCTACCCGGCGGGGCCTTCCGTACCCGTCAGTTTTGCCAGCAGCTCTCAGATCAGAGGTAGGAGAGTCCAAACTTCCAACACACAAATGGAATCTCATTATTCAAATTGTGGGATTTTATTTTCCTTTTAAAGTTGATAAAGAAATTCCTTTGCCTCCAGGTGCGTCCGCATTTCAGGCGATGCAATACCTCCCCCACCAGCAGGCCGGTTACCCCGTCCATGGTCACTTCACGTCCCAGCCAGGTGAGCCGCCTCTCTGTTCTTACCCTCATGTTCCCAAAGCTGCTTCTAAATTTTGGAGCCCCTCATCAACCGGCTTTATGGGACAGTGCAATAATTTTTCAAGTCGTCCTGTTAGACGTTGTAATAGATGGACAGTTTGTTTATTTATATTGCTTTCATTTATGTAGAAGGCACTTACAGGTTAAGAGCAGTAAAAACCGAGCTATAAGGAGAGACATTCTTTATAGTCTCCATGTGGTTCTAAAGGTGGAGAGGGACACCCCACCCTCTCTTAACGTTTAGTAGCTGGAGTCACCATAGTGAGATCACAAATGTCTGATAAGTGAAGAGGTGTGTGTTTCCTGCAGGCTACATCCCCGGAGCATCAATCCCGCTGCAGAAGCAGCTGGAACACGCCAACCAGCAGTCCGGCTTCACTGACGCAGTAAGAGCATTTCACATTTAGACGTCGTATAACACCCGGACATTGTTGACCCTTTTTTATTCCCAAACCTGTTCAGCCAGAGCCATTTCAGCCTACCCGTTTCTGCTTTCTAAGTCATTCCTTGTTGGATTTGCTGGGGTGCCGATGGCTCCGACTCACGCATGCACCAACAGGGACTCCTCTGTTGGCTCCTCATGGATCCACACCGCTCCTCACTAAACCAGTAGCTTGATGTGCGTCATGTGGATGTTGTTTCAGGGCGGTTTGAGGCCCATGCATCCCTCTGCCATGCATCCTTCTGCTCCAGGCCTGCTGCCCACACCCATGGTCCAGATCCCTACTGCCAAGGTGAACCCCCCCCCCCCCCCCCGAAAAACAAACATACGGTTTCCGTCATACCTCCCCTCTTTTGACTCCACTTAACTTCTGGAAAATTGTTCACTTCTCTCTTCTTTTCTGAGCAGAATGTTTGTGTATAACTGTTTAAAAAAAAAAAAGGTGTTTAAAACCCTTTTGTTTTCTATCAGGCCCCTTTCCAGAGCTCCCCGCAGGGCGCCCCTCGTCATAGCTTCCTCCCCCACAGCCAGAGTGGCCAGAGGTTCTACCACCATGGCAAGTAGCTCACAGCCACGTTCCAGCTGGGCCTCGCTACAGACGTGTAACGTACTGAGATTTCGGGAGAAACAAAGATTGTCCTCGATTATGCCATGTTCGTTGATCGTTGTGCCCCTGTACAGGACATTTTTAATTGAACTTTGTGTTAACTTTGTCATCAAAGTTGTGCTTCTTGTGAGCATTAAACTCAATGTTTTCCACAACTACACGAATTTTACTTTTTTTTTTCTGTAAAAAAACCCCAACTTGTTTAACGTCGGCCTGCATGGACTGCGGCCAGCTCCTTCATTCTGCAGTGACTCATTTCAAAATCCAGAATAGGGGAACCCTCTCTGAGCGTGTACCGTACATGGATTCAATCTGTACGTTTCCAGTCGCACACAAACGGGTTTAAGAACTTTCTTAAGCAGGAGTAATTTAACATGCTGCTGACGTCTGGTTAATCATGTGAGCTCATTAGGTTTAGTTACCAAAAATCCATATTTACCAACGCCTTTGCAGGACAAAATACATTTTTAAAAAGCTATTCTAATTTGAAGCATTTGCTAAAATGTTGCTTAATAAAATAAATAAAAAACACATCAACATTTTGTGTTGTCTTTATTTAATTATTGTTTTGGTCATACAGACATTCTGCAGGAGTTTGGACTGGCTGCACGAACACAGTCGTAATACAAACGGCCACAACTCGTCTTCCTCCTGCATGAGACTACACTTAATCACAGTCCAGTGGCTTCTGCCCGCTTCGGCGGAGTGAGAGGCTTCCTGCCAAGGCTCTGACCGATCCACTCAGTTAGTTTAGTCTCATTTGAAGCGTCCGGGCTAAAAGGCGCCGAGCGCTGCCTCCTCAGCTCGGCAGCTGATGAAATACACAGTAAAGGGAGCGGCTTGTTCAGGGCTAGCACCAAATCGGGTTGTGGTCATGGCCCCCACCGAACAAGCCTCAGCACAACGACGCAGATCCACAGTTGAAGCCCTTGACAGAGGGACAGTACGAAAAACATGGAAAGAAAACAAGAGGGAGAGTGGCACTGACTATGCACTATGCCCTCCTTTTCCCCAGGTCCCGAGCATCTCCACTGCCCCTAAAACAACAAAACGGGGAGTCTGTTTTAACAAACTCGGTTTCTACAGAACAAACGACTTTATTTCCAGCGGACACTGAGTCGTAAAGGCCGGACGTTTGCGGTCAGTGAAGGAAAGCCGTTGCACCGAACTGCTGGGCCCAGGGGCCGATTTCAGGGGTGAGGCCGTGAAATTACGTGCAACCCACACACCACCGAAAGAAACAAAACATCGCTCCAAAAACACAACATGGACCACGAGCTCACTCTGAAGTGTTCAAAGATTAACACAACTTCTATTAAGGTGCAGGCAAATCCACAACATGGCCTCCTCCAATCTGTGCGGTGTCAATACGCTCACCCAGTTTGCAACGTTTAGTTCTCTCAAATCTGAGTTCAGTCGTGTAAACACACAAATACAAAGCAGTGCATTAATAGGACATCTAGAATATCTGAAGTGGCTGTGCGGTAAATATTGCCAGCTTTAAATACTGTGAGAAGCGCCGGAGGTCCAGTCTGGTCCGGCCCTGGACCTGGACCCTGACGGCTGGAGTTGCCTCCCCCTTTGCATCACACGTCGCTCTGCCAGGACTCTGTATTTACCTGAAGGGGCTTATTTACCCAAAGCCTTGATGCCGATGGCGGCCTCCTCGTCCATAGCGTTCAGGACAGTGATCTGAAAGAGCGAGCAGGGGTGAGAATGATCTGCCCAGCATGCGGTCAACACGTCTGAGGTGTCTGAGGCCGATCAGACAGCTGGCTGCTCACCAGGATCTCCTCCCCAGCGTCGTGCTTGCTCTCGATTTCTTTCCCCAGGTCTCCGTCGGGTATCTTCAGGTCCTCTCGCACCTCCCCGCTGTCCTGGAGCAGGGACAGGTAGCCATCTTGGATCCCGATCAGCTGGGGGAGGACGGAACAAAGGCCAGAATGACCAATCACACAGAGACTGGATGAGTCTGACCTCCGGCCTTTCAGCACCTTGGATTCGATGTTGGACTGGAGAGTGACCTCACCTGGTAGTCCATTCTTTTGATGTTGGGGACGTCCATGTTGTGGGTAGAGGGGCAAATATCTTCATACTTTTTACCAGAAAAGATGTCAATACCAACTAGATGAACCTGTACGGAAACATGGGTGAATAATAAATAGAAAGAAAAGAAAAAAACAGAACACTTTTGTATCTATTAAGCACAACTTATAGTGCAAGCTTTTTCAAGTACTTGTTTTTAAAGATTAAAACTTGAGCCCCGAAAGGGACGCATAATATATCAGCACAGACTGATGATGTGCATTAATGAGCATTAATATTAATGCCCAAACTGAGTGGATTGAGAGGAAAGCAGTTCAGAGTCCATTTGCCTTTTGCCTCCCTTGTGTGAGATTCTACAAAGAAAAAAGCTTCAAAACTAACCCTGATCACTACTCTGTCTTCATGCCGGCAAACTAACGTACAGGAAATGATGCCGAGGTTCTCTCAAACTGTGCGGCCGGCGCTGGGAAGCACTGACCTTGGCGTGGCCGTGCTTGCCCGTCTTGGAGGTGGACATCTCCACGATCTTGCAGGGCCGGCCCTTCAGCACCACGAAGCCGTTCTTGCGCAGGGCGGAGCACTGCATGGGGTAGGTGGCCGAGGCCCCCGCGTCCCCGGTCTGGAAGTCCAGCTCGGCGTCTGCCATCCCCGCTGTCCGGCCAAAGACAAGGCGCATGCACATGTGACACATCTGGACGTTGGGATTCTGAATGTTGCCCTGAAACTGATTGGTTTTAACTTCAACTGGAGTTCCCTGTAGATCTGTGAGTCGGACCACATCCGGCTTTTGACCCAGTCAGTGATATGATCCCCCTGTTGCTCCATAGTGAAAATAAAACAGCAGACAGGTGGAGATCTTAAGTGAACAGGCTGGAAGTGTCCAATCAAACCTGGGGCTGCTTTCATTCAAAGCTTCTGAGCTAAGATAAAGCCCCCGGGAGGTTGGAAGCTTCTCAGCTAGTAAATAGTGTAAAAACAGACGGCAGAGAGCCGAGCTGAAGTTTACAGCCTGGTTGGTCCGAGTGTTGCCAAGTGCGGCCTGCAGGGCTGCGCACGGGGCAGTGTCCGTGTCTGCGCACTGACCGCGACCCCGATCCCTCTGGGATGGAGTCGGGCACATCTGTGATGATCTTAACCCCGGGTCAGACATGAAACTGGCCTACTCATGTTTGGTTCATGCTTTGAGGAGGAGTTCCACCCGAGTGCGCGTTACGTGAGCGCAGCCACGATTAACTCCAACAGCCAACTCCTCCGGGATTAAAAAACGGAACGTAACGCATTCGGGAAGGGGGCCGGGAGTGACCTTAAGACCAGTGAAAGCGGTGTGCGGCGGGGTGGTGTAAAGGGAATGTGTCATAACACCGCTTCCCATAGACATGTGCAAAGGGATAACCCAAGCGCAAACACGCCCCATCCATGGGGTGTTTTGATTTGGAACTCACCCTCGTGATAATGGCTCTCCTCTGCAGCGTTGCTTGACAGCTTTTCTCCCTTGAACAGCTGCTCTTTGCCTTCCCAGTGTCCGTGCAAACGGGGTGCCTGGTTTGCGATGTCGCTCCCTTATTGTGTTTTTGTATGTGTGTGTGTGTGTGTGTGTGTTGGCTCGTAGCGATCTGTGTTATTTCTCTTCCATCCCAGTCTTCTCCACTCGCCTGCCCTGTCGGCTGTGTGCGGAGTCCAGATTGCTGCTGACCAGCCACCAGACCACAGACTCAGAGCCCCGAGCCCCGCTCTGGATGCACCGTCAGTGCACCCTCACTCCACCTTCTCTGCTGCTCCCTCCTCCAGAGCCCCCCCCCCCACCCCCCACACACACACTCCTCCACAGCCTGAACACAACTAATGAAACCCTGTGAAAGCAGGACTTCCCATTTGAGCTGTCACAATAAAATCCTCCTAAATGGCTCCATCAGAAGACAGAGAAGGGTCAAAGAGGCTATTTTAGACACCAAGTGGCTTGGGTTTCCCCATCCATCCATTATCTATACCGCTTATTACCTTTGACACTGGGCCAGAGGTACCAGTCCATCAGGGGGCCACAGATAGGCCAACAACACAACACACACACACACATATCAACTCTTAAGGGCGATTTGAGAGTGGTCAATTCATTTAACATGCCTGTTTTTGGAAAATGGGGGAAAACCAGAAAATCGAGAGAACATGCAAACTCCACACAGAAAAGGCCCTCCACTGTTTCTGAACCAGGAACTGTGAGTTCTCCTAAAAGTCGGACAGACCATAAAAAACAATCCTTGCTGAGATTTAACCATCTTTCTTAAATCCAGTAATACCTCATCAGCAGGTCCAGGTGCATAGCTGCCTAAACGTGGCTTAAAAAAGTCTTTTACCAGCCCCCAAATCTGTCAGATATTTTCTCATTGCCTAATCTTGAGTCAGCAGTTTTAAATAGACGTGGATTACACATGTCAATAAGAAAGAGAGGTATATTGGAAAGTTTATTCAGTTGACGTTACGTCCTCCTGCATTTAGGCCACAGTGACCTGGCAGTAATTAGGAGTGGACATTGGACCCAAGATACTGTATTGGTGATAATTCATAGGCAGTGATGATTTCAAGAAAATAGAGAAATGGAAACTGAAAATGTAAAAGTGCAAACATAATCCACAAACAGTTGAGGCAATCTGAATAAAACAGAATCTTAAAATTATACCGCCTGGCTTATACTATTAATAACAGTTTCTAAATTCGGATCGGTACTATTCACAGACGAGATTAAAAAAACACTATTCAATAATCCTCTAAATATTCATAGACAATACAACGCTATATACAAGGTGTCATTAGAGGGTTTTCTGCACAAATATCTGCATAATATCTACACTAACACGCTTTTAAAATGAAGGTCATATCGATATCCTATCTTTTCCTGCCTGTTTTTGGTGAGCTTGATGCTGCTTTAACATAAATATCCATGAAAGAAATTTGCCCTCTTCTGCGCATGCGTGACTTTTCACTCGGACACATGGGTCAGGCTGGTTATTGCACACAAACACTACATCGATGTTATCCAGAATATTTAATGTGTGTCTTACAGGTTTAGCAGCTAATTGAATACACACACAATAAGAAAATACACGTTTTTTTATGATGACATTTTATATGTTATTTTTGCTACATGTCACCCCAGTGCTTCTTGTGTTTCCACGTCAACAATTTGTTTCTAAATTAGATTGTTTCAGTATCTCATGGCCACAGGCAGGCAGCAAATTGTATGGTGGCGTTGAACTTGGCTGTTCAACAGAGAGCTTAGGTTAAATTTAGTACCTTGAAATTGGAGTCTTATGACTTCTATGGGTTGCACAAATTAAGTTCTCGCAGTCAGATACAGGGGATAAAAGCAAAGATCTAAACCCACAGTGAGCTGGCAATCACACAATCATCTTTAAACACTGCGTTTATTCATGGGGTAAAAAAACAATGACCTATGAGTCTTCTGAATGTGTCATAAAGAAAACAAATGGGAAACAAAAAGTACATTTTAGGGTCAACTTTCTTCTTTTGATCAGAGCTGTGGAAATTCTCCAGTGAGTTCAGGAACGGAAACATGTCATCACCAGCAAGTGCATCTATTTTTCTATCTAATGATGTTCTCCATAAGTTATCCCATCACATACAGCTCCTCTGACCAGAGAAACAACAATGGAGCCTCCATCACCACCAGCAAAATCTGTGCACCGCCTCACACAGAGTTTCCTCCCCCTGCTGGTAGAAAAAGAGAATCTTCTAATGCTGGGATTCAACAGGTTAAAGCATATGTGGATAAGCTCAAAAACATGACATCAGTTCATATACATTTTGCAGCGTAGTGCTTAAATGTTGGATGTGCCACATGTTAGGTGTGAGTTTGGTTGTTCTGCTGCATAAATATCTGAAAACATGAAGTCAGTCTGCCAACAACCTGTCAAATAACTGGTACTTTTACAGTTAAGGCCTTTAAGTGCAACTAAATGTTCAGTTCAGAAGGTAATATGTGATTGAACACATTGAATTAACTTGAATATGGAGTAATATTCCAGTTTAGTATCAATCATATACGAAAACCCCGTTTAGATCACCTTACCAACATACTGCTGTTTAAAAGGTGAAATCATCATTATTATAAATTTCCTTAATACATTTGTAATGATTGATCACTTGATCAATAAAATCCAAAATATTTATGTCTTTTTATTCTGCCATTAGATTAAAAGCAGCTATTTTGTCGATTGGAAGATCATAAATAAGCCTTATAGGTCTGCATTTTGACACAGTTTTGAAACAAAGGAAGCTGATTGTTCACGTGGCCTTTCATTCCGGTAAAAGAAAAAAGAAAAGAAAAAAAAGTTATCCTAAAATTATACTCATTAGGAAATAAAACTTTCAAGAACCACCATCAACTTGAAAACAATTTCCAGTATGGAAAAATAATTAATTATAAAATAATAGGGAGAAAAGCATTTCTTAGACATACCTGCCCTCCACCTGTCAGCGTTTCCCTCCCAATTGCTGACCTCGCGCGGCCAATCAGATTCCACCTCGAGCTCCCGTGAAACCAATGAGGGCGCGGCTTCCGCCCGGCGGAACGAGGGGTTGTCGGGATAAAAACTTTGCCGTGGTGCAGGTAAAAGTTTCGTGAGGAAGCAGGAGGGAGGGGACAGAGGACAGAAAAGTGTAGCAGTCCAGCAGCCAGCATGAGCGACGTCGAGGCACAGAGTGCTCCGCCACCAGAGGAAGAGAAACCCCAGCCGGAGAGGAAAGTCATAGGTGGGTGGGACATTTGAATAAAAGCCTCCATGAATAGTTACAGCCGTCGAATTCCGTCGTAGCCGTTTTTTTTTATCATGAAAAAGGCCCGTGGAGTTGTGTTGCATGACGTTTGTTGTCATGTTTCATTCACTGACGTGAGAAAGTTGTTTGGCAGCCACAGCAAAGGAAGCCCGAAAATGAGTCCACACCTTGGAACAAATCACCGCCACCGTGGTGTGTTCCGCTTTGGCAACACCTGTTCTTTTGCTTTTTTGTCTTGAGCCCACGGGACACAATTATACCAATAGCATCAAGCCTGGGAAAGGCTCAAAGCGCGTGTGGACGAAGTAATGACTCCAAATACCTCTTCTCGAATTTAGTTTATTACATCTTGGTAATAAATGATAGCGTGGGAGAGCTTGCCGAACCGACGTTTTGAACATTTGACCCGAATTTAGCCTTTATCAGCTTTCGCGCGTCGATACGCACGCGCCCTCGCAGCTGTAAATCATCTTACTTTAAGGGCCGAACGTGCTAATTGAAGGCGTCATGCGGCTTTCAGAGGTTAACCTGGCGAGGAGCTCAGTCCGGGAAGCTGTTGGGGGCGACTGGCTCTTTTCTCTTCTCCCTTTTTTCCCCACGGGTTGAACTGGTTTTGTAGCTCCATCACCTCTCCCTCCTGACCTGGTTTCAAAGTCTCGCTGTTAATGATTGATGTTGTCAGTCAGGCTGCCATCAATCCGAGCGCGATAAGTGTTTGTTCTTAACATGTCAGCGTGTCGCTGCGTGTCCCGTGGGACACACTTTTTTTTAACCCTGCCCTCCTGTTGCAGCCACATCGGTCCAAGGCACGGTGAAATGGTTCAACGTGCGTAATGGCTACGGCTTCATAAACAGGTAACATTTTTGAACCAATTAGTCTAAAGGATGTGAGTTAAACCCCCATCAGTCGGCGTTGCTAAAAGTCAACTGTATCTTGCAGGAATGACACTAAAGAGGACGTCTTTGTTCACCAGGTAAGGCATGTTACGCCTCAGGTTTGAAATCTGTAATGGTACATCCCTTTTCATGCTGATCATGTGTCCTCAGACTGCAATCAAGAAGAACAATCCTCGCAAATTCCTTCGCAGTGTTGGAGATGGAGAGGTTGTAGAGTTTGATGTAATTGAAGCAGCCAAGGTAAGACTCAAATGTTTTTTTTATTTTTATCTTCTGTCCTCAGTTATGAAATAATTTACGAGCCGCTCTCCTCAGGGCTCGGAGGCGGCCAATGTGACGGGTCCGGGCGGCGTTCCGGTGAAAGGCAGCCGTTACGCGCCCAACAAACGGCGTTTCCGACGGAGGTTCTTCCCCCGCAGTCCCCGGCCCGGTGACCAGAGTAAGCTACCTGATGGCCAAGACCCTGCACCTGAGGCCGACAGAGCCACAGAAAGTGACGCAGAAAGGCCTCAGCAGCGGCGCCGCAGGCTCCGCAGACCCCGGCCACAGGCACAGAATGTAAACCCAAGGGTGGAAAGTCTGTTTCTTGTGACTATTTAAAGCCTAATGCGGTGATTTCTGGTGTTTGTCAGGGTGACATTGGGGAAGAGAAGGATGGCGTTGCCGAGGGCGACCCGTCGCAGCAGAGGCCTCCACGCCGCAGGTTCTGGCGCCCGTATCGCAGGTTGCTTTATTTGCATGAGACGGTCTGAAAAAATGAAGCAAAGACTCAGTAACGCTGTCCTGTGAGTTTAGACCCTTCCGCCCACGGCCGCCTCCTGATCAGTCGGCAGACGACCAGAAGCCGCCTGCTTCAGAGGACGCCGCTGAGCAGGGCGAGGAGAAGCAGCTGGAGGCCCCCGAGGGCCCGCAAACAAACGGAGAGACGGCAGACGACCAGGGCCTGAAACAGCGCCGCCAAACCAGGAGACGCAGGCAAAGACAGTCCGAGTCCTCTACCTCCAAAGCAAGTTTGATTTTTGTAGTTGATGGATGATAACGGCTCATCGGGTAGTGTGCATGAACGAGGTGGCCCTGAGAATAAGCAAGCACAGTAATCATGTAAATGGAGCAGTGTGCTGTCAGTTCGTCTCTTGTAAATGTACCTCTTCATGTAGTTGGCTGGGTATGTTGAAATGTGGGGGCTTTGTCTGAAATTGATCCTGTAACACAAAGATTGTTGTGCGTTATGAAGAATGATACAGAGAAGTCTGCGTCAGAACCTGGAACCCCACCTCCGACCTCAAAAGAAGCTGACCTGAAGGCTGCATCCAGATCTCCAAAGACCTCCCCAAAAACCCCTCCTCAAAGAGCCGAGTCACCAGAGGTAAGGCGCTTCTGCCGTTTGCCTCGTTCTTTTCTGGCTCTCCGGCTGGCTCTCATCTAAATGTTTGGATCCCAGCAGGCAGCCGCCACAACAGTCGAAGCACCAACAGAGTGAGTTCCTCTGGGCAAGAGGTGGGACCTGCGCTGTGCAGCCCGTGGTCAGGTCGGGGGGGGGGGGGGGCACAGATGGGGTATGGGCTGTGCCGCTTTGGCTCACAGGGCCTCGTGATGGACAGTAAAGGCTGTTAGCGGAAGTTTAAGGTGGGAGGAAGGCGTTTAGGGAAGAATGGATTTAAGAAATTACTTTGTTTTTGGATGGTTTGGATTTATAGGGATCTTCTTTTCCAGTTTTAAACACTGAACCTGAGGATGTCAGAGCAGTATAATCCTTCTGCGTTCAGATTATTATTTATTTATTTTTTAAATGTGCCTCTTCAGTGTTTACTTCCCTCATTTTGTTTCTTGTAGGTCCTAGGGTTGGAGGGCTGGACCTATGCACTGCTCTCCCCCTCCCTGCACTCACCCTCCAACCCGCCTCGTCTCACTGTCACCCCTCTGACCTCTCGTCTTGTGTTGTCCCGTCTAGACACTCACATTTTGGAGAGCAACTGAGTGGAGAACAAGGGGGCATACTGGTTGGTGCAAATTTGGAAGAGAAATGCATCTTTAAAAAAGGAATGGACAACCTGCTTGGTAGCCCAGTTATTCCAACCCCTCTTAAAAGAACTTTTCTTTAATTGACCAGATGGGGTACATCGAGTGGTTTACAGGAACCAGCCTTGTGTTTTATTTAGCTTTTTAATTTGATTGAAGGGAAACCCAAGCAGGTGTGCTGTTAGTGGTACGAAATGGGAAGTTAAGTTCTGTTACCACCAGAATCGGCTCCTTTCATCTCCTCAGCTAAGGATGGATTGATGATAAACTTTATTTCCTGAGTTTTATTTGTGCTTTTCTTTAGAGGGGATTATGTGCAATCTCAGTACTTAAAATGCTAATTAAAATAAATCATGTTTGCAAATGAGGATTTCAATCTTTTTCTTTTTTTTTTCTTTTGTGCTCATTTTTGTCAACATTTTAAAATGAACACATGTCAATCTAATTCCCGAGAGAAATTAAGAGGCCTTTTAGTTTTTTGTCTTCAGTAAAAGTATTTACAACAGCATGAAATCACATCTTTGTTTGAATGATCTCAAAGCAGATTTTCTTTTTTTTTTTTTTTTTTTTTTTTTCAAATGACAGCAAACATGACATTTGAAGATGATGCACAAAGTTGATGCCGATACGATTTAAAAATTGATTTGATAGCACATTTTTCATACTGGACTACTGTTTAAAAAAACAAACAAATGCCAACAGGAGTGCATAAAGAGTTTAAACTTTTACCCTTAAACAAGACACACTTATATACATGACTTACCAAAATGTCTTAAGAGCAGTATTTCTGCAGGTCGTGCCACAAGTTTCTAGTCAGAAAAACTCTTAAGCTGGGAACACACCAAAGTGAAAGGCCAGAATTTCAGGGCAGCTCTCTTTCTTAAAGGTTTGGTTCACTGCAGATTTCAAGCCAATCAATGCCTGAGGTTCAATATAAAAAATTCTGTATCCCAACGTATTTCCCAGATCTTGAAACAAATTAATTTAAAATTGCCTTCTGAGGTTATGAGCCTTCAAGATTGCACTAAATTGTCTAATCAGATCTAAAAAGGGAAATTATAATCTACTCTCCTTTAGTGTGTTCCCATCTTAAATGAAAATGGGCAAGTTATATGAACTTCCTACAGTACTTTCTTTTTTTTTTTATGTCCAAACCTTGAAAGCTTTGGATATCTTTATAAAGTGCAGGAATCCCAAACTCTCTCCGCTGCTGTCCGTCAGAACAGCGACCCATTGCACTGGCAGTCAGTGCCTCACCAGTCCATTTTGTTCCTTGAAAATATTTCAGTCTGCTTCTAATCCAGCTGGTTTGCAGCCTTTGTCAAGGCCGAATAAACGAAAACCCTTGAACTGCAGTGGTACCAGCCCAGGATGATCCCGAAACACCCACACTGCCACACACTCAACACTGCTTTGGCACCACAATCTAGATATAGATAAAATAGATCTCAAAATGCATATCAGAGATAAAAGTTTAGGGTCCATATACGAGGTTCATCCAAAGTTGTACTCTGATCCTTTTTTTTTTTTCTTAGGAGAAGGACTAGTTGATGCTTTCCTCCCCTAAGTAGTCAAGCTCAGTGCTGGGCTTGTCCATGTCCATATCAATGTCCATATCCATCATCCCTCCCACTGAGCGCTGGCTAAAGCTGGCTGCTATCTGGTCGAAGGTCTTGCCCCTGGTCTCTGGCACCCGGAAGAATGTGAAGATGAGGAAGAAAAGGAGGAGTGCTGCGAAGATCAGGAAGACATACGGCCCACAGAGGTCCTGGGGAAAGATGGATGGACGATTAGCAAAAGAACGATTAAAAACAATCCGGCTGCTTTTTGGGGTAGACGTTAGGGAGCACTCACTGCAACATATTGGAAGCTCATGCCGATTATGAAGTTGGCCGTCCAGTTGGAAAAGCCTGCTACGGCCATGGCAGCTGGCCTCGGACCTTGAGAAAACAGCTCGGCGACAAAGAACCAGGGGATCGGACCCGGGCCAATCTCAAAAAAGGCCACGAAGCCGAAGATGGCTAGCATGCTGATGTAGCTCATCCAGGGAACGGCCTCCTGTGAAACGGAAGAACATGGGAGTGAGAGATTTGTGGAGCTTGGCACATGAGTCATTAGAGCTAATACAACAGAGCAGAAACACTCGGATCCGTGAGTCCTTTACCAGTAAAGCCAGAGCCATGGTCATGATGATGGCACAGATGCACATTCCTCCCAATCCCAACATGTGAAGTGTCCGTCGGCCCATCCTCTCCACAAGGAAAAGCTGAAAACGAACGAAAATGGAGTAACACACAGGCTGGCATAAAGTTTGTATTTTAATTAGATCATCCTGATTTGTTCTAAAAAATCTGTTGCTTTGTCTAAATGTATAATCAAAGATTTGTACCTATGCACATAGCCCCTGGGGACTGAGCTTAGATTTAAAGCATCACATAATCATATCCAGAGATCTTAACATGTTAGCATCCAGCATTTGACAATTATTCGCAGACAATAACTACATCTTAGATAAAAGGGAGGTTTTTCAAACGTAGTCTATTTATTTCATTTAAAGGTGTGAAATCATTAACAATCATATGCAATACATTAAATAACCCTCCAGTCTATTTAAAAATATTTAATTTAATCTAATCCAATGGGCTAGAGCTGCAAACATATCATTTCATGAGCTATTTATCAGCACAGAAACCTGTTTACACAACAGGCCAAACTTGGTCCAGTTAAATGAAGGAGCATTTTCACAATCTGGCCAAAGACACAACTTCCTTTTATCTTATTTACTCTTTGATAACAGCGTTAAACAGTAATGAAGACATTGATTGACTCGGAACAGTTTGTTGCGGGTCTGTAGTCTTTATTGTGCCAAATCTGGAACAAACTGAACATTTGAAAGGCAAACTTCCTGCGGTGGAGAGAGAGCTTAAAAAGCGGAGGTGAAGGCATGCTAGTGGGATTCCTCACCGAGGCCACAGTGAAGGCACAGTTTACCACTCCGGCTCCTATGGTGGCATAGACTGGACTCTGGACTCCGGCTTTCATGAAGATACTGGTGGAGTAGTAGAAGATCTGGGGGAGTGACACACATCCAGATCAAGTCATGCCCAGTGTATTGCCAGGCGTGGCCTCACACCTGCAGGTCACTAACTGGTTTCAATAGATTTAATAGATAAAAGCCTCACCGCGTTGACCCCAGATAACTGCTGGGAGAGCTGCAGCAGGATGGAGATGATGATGGGCTGGCGGTACAGCGTGGACCGGAAGAGCTCGGGGATGGACACCTTCCTCTCCATGTCCATCCTCCTCTTCTCCTCCTTCATCTCGGCCAGCATGTCGCCAACCTCCTGCCGGCCCGTTAGCCTCCTCAAGCCTGCGGGAAGAATGGTCACAGAGGTGTTTTAGGCCACCAATTTGACCCAAACAAAGTCACAAAAGCACAACGTCGGCGTATTCTGTTGTGTTTTTTAAAATCTATCTATATTATTGACCCTTTTCCAAACATTAATAACTGGATAAGATCTCAGCCTGAATTGAATTTATCACCATTCATCTTTAAAATCATAATTTTTAAGAATTTCCCACAAGGGATTAATAAAGTACTTCTGATTCTGATTCATATAGATGACCCTATACACACAAAATGCAGTTTTATGTATACTATATATATAGTATACAATTATCAATAAATGGTACATTCTATACACTAATTTGCAGAGAAATCCAGTAACCCCTGTTTACATTGTGGAGGTTATTTTCAAAAGCGAGCTAAGTCCCAGTGAGCTAAAGTCTAAAGGGCGTGTCCGGCCGGCGGGTGTGGAGCACTCTGGCGTCGTTCACCGCTTTTGGCGTGGTGCTCCTGACAACGGATGATGTAGAGAAAGCGAGGGCTCTCGGGGCAGAAGGGCAGCAGGCCCATCTGTAGCACGGTGGGAACAACGGTGAGGCCCATCAGAACGGGCCACAGGTGTTCGCTGCCGAGCAGCGACTCCAGCCCCAGGACCTGCGCGGGGAGAGGAACGCAGGGTGAAAAAAAAAAAAGATTACGCAATTGAAGCCAAGGAAAAGACAGTAAGATGTCGGCCCAAAGCTTCAAGAACATCAATCCACCCATCCATTATCGGAACCGCTTATTCCCTGATGATGTCGTGGTTGGGACTGGAGCCTATCCCAGTGGTCAATGGGCGAGAGGCGGGGTCACCCTGGACGGTCCCCAGTCCATCGCAGGGTGACACAGAGACACACAAGGACCAACAACCACTCACACTCAATGCTAAGGGGAATTTGGGATGTCCAAACAACTTAACATGCAGGTTTTTGGATGGTGGGAGGAAGCCGAGAACCTGGAGAGAACCCACGCAGACACAGGGAGATCATGCAAACTCCACGGAGAAAGGCCCTGGTTCCCCCGGCGACTCGAACCCAGAACCTTCTTGCTGTGAGGCCATGGTGCTAAACACATGTATTGTGTATATGCACGACTTGTCGGTGGGGAAAGAGAAGTACAGTGAGTTCATGCCGGATTCTACCTGTGCTATGAGAATGCCGGTGACTATAGCCAGCTGGTGCAGCGTGCCCAGAGCCCCCCGGAGACTCGTCGGGGCGATCTCCCCCACGTACATCGGCGTCAACCCAGACGCCAACCCTGCTCGAAGGAAAAGATGGATGAAGGAGCTCAATCTGACACGAAGGAGATCAGTCACTGCAAGACGGCACTCAAAAAAACAAGAAGAATGCGAGCGGACGGCTCACCACAGTAGGCCCCGATGATGAAACGCCCGAGGATCATCATCTCGAACGAGCTGCAGAGCTTCGACATCCCCATCAGACTCCCGCCCAGGAAGGCCCACATGTTGTTCATGAGCATGGCTTTCCTCCTGGAAGCAACCCAGACACGGATTTGTGAGTGTTTGCAGCTCAGATGTTGGATCTGACCAGGGTGAATCCCCCCCCCCCGACACGGTCCACCTGCGCCCCATTGACCCGTCCACTAGAGGGCGCTGTCGCAGGGGAGGGAAACTACCAGTGC